ACCAATAGACCAATAGACATAATATCTAACTAAATTTCTATCAAATAGACATTGTCTATTCTCAATCAAATTGAATAAACAGTAGACAATTAGACATTAGACAATTAGACCATTAGACGATTAGACAATGATATTTTTGATTAGACTATGTCTATTCACAACTCTGGTGTAAGGAAAAAAGGGGATGAGGTAAGGACAAAAAGTAGAAAAAAAGTTTTGCAAGAGAGAAAATATTGAATTTGGTTGTAGTTTGACCAATATTAGGTCAAAAGTCTTTGTTTAGAGCTTGTTTTGATCAGATGACTGTGTACTACAACTTTAATTAAGAGTAAAGAACAGGTTAAGGTAGTAGAAACTGTGAGATGGTTAAAAGTTATAAACTGGAGGCCAAAGGCCGTCAGTACAATTTTCTCAATAGATTTAGAATATAGGAACGTAATATTTTCAGAATATATTTAAAATGATGAGCTGAACAAGTCTACATAAGAGCCCAGAACAAAGTGTCTTAGTAAAATAAATAGTTATAAGTATTTTTAGATGGCCGAATTTTTTAGTTAATTTTTGTGCAATGAATTTGCAGAAAGAGTTTTTAATTTTGTATTTTTTATCTATATATTGTTATCCAAACAACAATTATTATGAAATAAAGAAGAGGTCCTATACTCTCATCAAAATTTATTTTTATACAATTTTTTATGATGTAACTTGTGAATAGTGAAGACTATTAAGTTAACTTTATTAATCTATACTTTTTAGTATAGATTGTGGATTTCCTATTATTTTATACAAAATGCACGAATATGTTCAAAAGTTTGAAAAATAAATATGTGATTTTGGGTGAACCACAAGTTCGCTAAAATTTCGTCAAGAAAAATTCACAATTATATACGAGTTATACATCGATATCAATACAATAAATTTCCGAAATACACATGCTATGCAAAAGTAAACATGATTATATATATAAAATAGAGCCACCAGTGCCAGTTTTATTAATAATTAACTATATTATAACATTAACATTATATGCTAAAATAATAAAAATTGAATTACAACACTCTTTTTACCGAACCAACATCCTGTACATGCTATTACATATTCATTAAATTTTATAATCAATAATCTTACTACTCCTCTATCTTGTATACCTTTGGAGTTATACATTTAACTATCTCTATTGTTTCTTGACTATCTCCCATTACGGGATCAACCCAAGCAGACAATAAATGTTTAAGACTATTTGTGAGATCATTAACCTTGGTCGATGATGAGGTTGTAGAAACTGGTGTAGACTACCCTAAGCAATTATAAATGTCTAATGATAATCCAAACAATCTAAGCAAAATCCGAAAATACTCTCAGAACTCTTTGATTTTAGCACTTGAAGCATCTAAAACTTCTTCTTTCCAAGTCTAATCTTCTTGATAAATTCCTTTTCTGTTCTTTCAGCATCTGTTGTATAATCTTCTAGTACTTTTGCAATTTTACATTTGCACAAATCCATATTACATATTGTAGTAGACTTTGACAGAATGTCAGCTAGCTCTGATTTTGCACCTAATTGCAAATACAACAACAAAAATGGCATATATGGTAGATCCTAAATGCCTATATAAGCTGGCGACAAAAAAGTAGTTGCAGATTTTAAATATACATAACCTCTATTATTAGTAGAATGATTTTTAACTTGTATTAGTATGTATGAAATATGATCTTCATTTAACTCTTTATTAAGAGTATCTAAATATAAAGATATTATAATATTTGCTTCTCATTAATTTTATTTACATAAATATGAAATACTGCGAATCAGAGCATCTCTAAAATCTTTTCTATCTGGAATATATGTAATGTTAATAATATGTGTGAACTTAATATAAGCCTCACTGAATTTTCTTCCTGTAAATTTTACTGTCTTATTAAGGCAATTCTTTATTTTCTCATAAACATTGTCTATGAGTAATGATTTTAAAAATTCTTCAAGAGTCACGAATCGAAAATAATTTTTGCTAATATTCATGTTATCTTATCTAGGATCTTTTTCTTAATACAACAATCCTAGGTGTTGAGAAGTAATAATCTGACTGTAAGCTCTCTATAGTAATCGGCCTCTATTATGTTTTTTTTTAAGGCTTTGGAGAGCTTATTAATTATTCGAGTGCTAGCCTCTACTAGCACAGGTTCAGTAGGCATCAATATAACAACATATTTACAATTCTCTAAGACACTAATACAAAGGCACATATTGTTTGCTATTAAATCAGGTGCATATACAGATTGTAGCACTATTTCGATACATAAATGGAATTCTAGAATAGCCAAAGTATTCAATATTTTTATTTGTACTTCTTCCCTCCAAACACCAAAATATTTTCTGCCAATAAGCTTATCTATAGCCAATTTGACAATACGTTCTGATTCTATTCCTTTAGCATCACTAGAAGGCATTAATAGTGCACCCCACAAAGGTCTTCTATACTGAAAAAAATGTCATAGATTTTCTAACTCCTTTAATGTCTTTATCTCCTTAAGATTAACATTCATATCTATAGTATCTAACAAATAAAATAGTGTGAATAATTTAAATTTTTCTTCTGCAACTCTTTTAGATGGATTGAGGTAATAAGCAGGCGAAAAGTTCGAAATATTTGAATATGTGTCTGTAAAAACTGCAAAAATTCCTGTTTCTTTAGGTAATAGAGTTAAAGCACATTGAATATAATAGAACAGTAAAAATTTTCTACTATTTTTACTTCCATCTTTATTACCAGCCAGTGTACTAGCTTCATCAAATGCAAACAGATATTTAACTGGACCTTCTCATTTTGTTACTATGTTTTTTTTAACCAAATATTTCTCGACCAAGTCAGTTGTCTTACTATCTGTAAAACATGTCATTAACTGGACTTTTATATTTTTCATTCTGTTTTCAACATCTTTCCAAAAATTCCCTCACAAATTTTTATTAGTATGCTTATCCAACCATTTCTTCAATCTTTACTGAAATCTTGCATCTTTTGAAAGCATGCAAATATGTATGCAAGGTAGTTAGTTTTGGTATTTTGTTTATTATTAAACTCTTTTATTAACATTTTGGCAATATCCAATCTGTGTGGATAGCCACTTGATTCAGATTTCTGCAAACAGCAATATACTGACATTATCTCTACAGCAACATTTATCAATAATTTGGATTTTTCTACACTACTAGCTTGAATTAAGGTTGTATATAGTGTATAATAATAACTATCACTTGTATTGTATTCATTTAGACACTTGTTAATAAATTGTATAAACCTTTCTAAAAGGTTACTTGGATCTTGAAAAGTTCTATTAAAAGCTTTCTGGATGATTTTCTCATCTTTTTTATTTCTAATATGATATAACAACTCTAATATAGAATGTACAAGAAATAATTAGGCTTCGCTCAAAAAACACCAATAGAATAATATTATTCATAATCAGCTTACTTGATGGTTTATATATTTTTTCTAAATAGTAACAAGATAAGATGCATTAAGATTATTTGTGATCAGCTAGCAGACTGAATAACATACCTTTTTTTATATCAAATATCTTAACTAGATTATCAATCAAACATTTCTGTTGTTTAAAAAAGTTGATAATTTGCATTTTTGTTTAACCAATATCTACTTCTTTATCCCCAATAATAAACATATAATTTTCCAATTGGCCTTCAATATTGAAGCTTATTTTTAAATGTTTATACAGTTGAGTAATATCCTCTTAGGTGACAGAACTAACACAAAGAACTTTTAATACAAGGTACTAAAAGTATAAGGGGGCTAAAAGCAAAATTGTAAATTTTTTAAATGATATCACAATATAATAAAATGAGAAAACTAAAATATTCATAGTGCTTACCTGTATCTGTATAATAAATATGAGGCGCAAGTTAATAAATAAAATTATTGTGGAGAAAGCAGTACAGGTTTGGAATATTTGAATGTAGTCATAGTGCTTACCTTGTGCTTCACTTTTAATATCTATAAGTAATCTAGCGATAGCTCTAGCTGATTCATCAAGAAGATTGTATGGAGAAGCTCAAAGATCTTCTTTAGACAATTCAAGGAAAACATGACCAGGAACACAATTATCTCTAATCAGTATAATGTGTTCATCCTTAAGAAATAACTTTTCTTTCTGAGACTTCAGAAAAGAAATAACTTTATCTGGGCCTAGGCATTTTTAGCATCATTGAATGACAGAAGAGTAATATTACTTGACATAGTTTATTTTTGTGTTGCTTGAATAGAAATGTAAGAAGCGAAAAAATTTTTTTGGCAGGAAATAGTGTACATTTCTCTTTTATATTTTATACAAACAATTAGATTGCTACATAACAGATCACATATACATAATTTCTATGTCCAAAGACTACGCATCGATTTTACTGTCATATGATTTCCGAGATGATGATGATTTACAGAGTACTCTTATATCCAGAAAATTCTAGATTAAAGATCACTTTTGACTATATCCAGATCCAATAAAATCACATGATCTCATGTAACAAAACAAATGCAAATAACATAAGAAATTGTAAAAAAATGTAAATAACACAAAAATTTACTATGATAACTAACTTTTGACCTCTAAGTAAAAGTTTTTAGAATGAAATTTTACTTATAAAACACAATTGTTAATGTTAGATATATAGTGAATTTTTGAAATACTATGACCTATATTCTTTTGGCCAGCAGCTCAGAATTTTCTAGACATAAGAATATCCTGATCTACATCATACATCAAATTTGTACTATACAAAATTAATGTATAATTATGTGATATACATAATTTATATGAATGTAATTTTAATGTCATTTATATGTAATAATTATGTGTCACTATTCTTATGAAATTTAAATTACTAATCATTAATAATTAGTAATTTATGAAACTTATAATTACATAATTAAAATAAATAAGTTATTGTAATTGTGAATTTTTAATAAAATAAATCTAAGGTTTTAAAACCAAATCATTATACAAATATAACACAAAGCAAAAGTAGTAATGAGCAGAAAGAATCCTATTATAAAAAAGTTTGTCAAAATAAATTATATGTAATTTCAAAGGTTGACTTAAAAGTTTTGTTTAGGATTATTTTAAAAAAGATGATAATGGTATAACTTCAACCTGTAAAATTATATTTAATAATAGAAAAGTTTATGGTGTCTTATATAATGATGATCAAATTTAATTAATCATCTTGCTTTTAAGTATAAAATATTTAAAAATAATCCTTATTATCTTATCAATAATAATTTATTTAACCTAAAAATAAATATAAATTAATATAACAAGATTTAATTTTATTTATTATCAATAATTCACAATCATTCAATATTATAGAATGAAAAAAAGAACTATTCTTTTTATAAATTTTTTTATATAAAAAATAATAAAAATCTATCAATAATAAAATCTATCAATAACAAAATTATTAATAACTAGTTATTTTATTAAGATAACTAATTTTAATATCTTAAGTAAATTTGTTTAGCTTATAATTTTATATATATTTTAAAAGTTATAGATTTTTAATTTTAAATTTGTAATTTAATACTGCTACAAAGTCTCTGGTCTCTGTAACTAAACTTTTAATTATTTTTTATTAAATACTTTTTTAATATACATTATTGTTTTAATAAAAATTATAAAATATTTTTTTTTAATTAAAACAAGTTTAAAAATAAGTTTGTAGTCTCATATTTGTCAGAATTATAACAAAAAATAACTTTATTTTTTCATTATTTCTTTAAAAAAAATCTTTTATTTTTATTCTCAAATTTTTTCTTTTAAATGTTTTTTATATAAATTTAAATTATTTTTAAAATTAGTTTTATTTAATATTATATAATTTAAATTAAATTTAATTAAAAAGATTTTTTTTTTATTATAAATTAATTAGTATTAATTTACTAAAAATAAATTCTGTATCCTATTATATAATAATTACTATAATATATAACTAATTATAATTTTGTATTATACTAGTTATACCAGTCATATTAGCCATATCAGTCATAACTTGCATCATCTAAATTATATAAGATTACACAAGTTACAGTAACTGTAATAAGCTGCAATAGCATTACTGTAAATACAAAACAACAAACTACAAAAAACTGCAATCTTCAATTAAATAAAGAAACAAAACTTTGAGATATATATAAAAATATGAATTCAACAGATCAACAATATATATGGTCAAATAGAGAAGCAACAATAAGAATTGACTATATATAGATATCAGATAGGTTAGTCTCAGATTTACAAAAGGCAAAAATTAAAGAAGTAGAAGAGATTATAGAGAGTGACCACAAGATAGTAATAGCAAAAATATAGAACAAGCATATAATAGTAATAAAAAGTAAGACAAAAATTAAAAGAAGAGAAGTCAAGAACAGTATACTTATATGATTAAGCAAAATTAAAAGATTGGAAAAATTATATATAAGAGTTACAAAATTGATTAGAAATAAAGAAAATTCTAAAAGACATTCACAAAAAAGAACAAAATGAAAAGAGAAAAACAGAAAAGATAAACAATATATGAAATATAATAGAAGAAACTATTATTACAGCAGCAAGTAAATATATACTCAAGAAAAAAGTATATAACATGATAACTAACAGAAGAAGAACTTAGAAAGAACATTAACAAAAAAAAACATTGTCAAATTATAGAAATTAATTAAGTATGCAAAAGCTAAAAGAACACAAACAGTAACAGAAGAGAAAAGAAGTAAAATAAATAAACTATTAAAGATATTAGACAAAAAAGTCAGCACAAAATTGCCAAAACCATAAAGACAATAGTTAAATACATGAATAGAAAATATGAAAAGTTAGAGAAATTTATTATTGGAAAGAAAAAAGAAAGACTAGAAGCAAATACAAAGAAAACAAATAGAAAAGAATATAGATAAAGGTATGAAATAATTAGAACAGATCAGAGAAAAATGATAGTGAGTTTCTTGAATAGACCCTATAAGAAAATAATACTTGACAGATTTATCAAACAAACAGAAAAAAAAATGAATCTGCTAACAAGCTCAAAAGATGTTAAAATAAAAGTAATAGAATATTACAAAAAACAATTTAGGAAAAAATACAAGATTAGAAGAAATATCAAAAAAATAAAAAGAAATATATAAATTATGAGAAAACATTAAAGAGAAATGATATACAAAAGTTAAAAGAGAAATTAAAAAAAAAGAATAAGAAGAAACATTAAAAGAATTAAAGACAAGAACAGCTTCAGGCATATTAGGTATAAGTTACATTCTAATAAAATGAGTAGAAAAAACAATACAAAAAGTATATAGAGGCTTTGCAGACTTATGTCTAGAAAAAGAAAAGATAACAACTAAATAAAAGATAGTACAAGTTTATTCAATATCTAAAAATGTTGAGTAGGGATATAGTTTAAACAACATTCTTTTTTTTTGGTATTAAGGTAAGGCCTTGCTCATATCTTTATTAGTAGTTTTTAAAATTAGTAACTTCATAGAGTTACTATATACAAAAATAATTCTAAATAAATGCTATAGCCAAGGCCAACATTTGCAGTTAGAGCTAATCATTAAACTGCTAACTATATATAACTAACTTAAGTACAAATAAGAAGAAAACTATATTCAAAAGTGAAGCTCAGACATA